AGGAACAAGAATGGCTAAGGGTGGAGAAGATTGACACGGATTACAAACGAAGAATTTGAAAAGTTGAGGCTAAACTTTTTAATATGCGCAAACCGTGACGTAGTTCCTTTGAACCTTGAAAGGGTAGCCTGCAGTGCAGATATTAGCTCGCGATCGAGTAGATTCGCCCCACTCTCGAGGACCCCTTTTCTACTCTTGTGAGTTTGAATCTAAGATGACGCTCGCCTTATCAAAATGCGTGCGCTCGCTCGCCAAAATACGCCTGCATTGTACGCTATGAAAGGGAAACTTCAATTTCATTTTTTGCCATGAACCGCTGGTGGTAATGGGCTGAAAATTCTTTATCGCTATACCACTCAGTCACTGCTGTCGCACTCCACGATGTGAAACCCAAGGTTGTCCTTTCTTTCTGTACGGTTTGAAAGGGGAAAGGGACTTGAAGAAAACGTTACATGGTAGGACACATGTATAGTTTGCTTTTATTTACTGCTGTTTGCTTGCGGTTAGCATTTATTACTGCTTTTCTTGCGGTTAGCAATTAGTTACTGCTGTTTTTACTTGCGGTTAGAATTTATTTACCGCTGTTTGCTTGCGGTTAGCATTTAAGGGGTGAAGGGGAAGGCGACTAAATGTGTCCTACCATGAATTATATGCCGTTACATGTAAGTGACGTTTATCAAGTTGAAGTGAGAGGTAACCGCATTCTTGTTTTCGTTTGGTTAACTCAGTTACTTTTGAATGTACAGTTTTAGTGTTCTGTCTCGCCAGAGAACGCAAAGTAAAAGTAGAGTGTTTCTATTAATTCTTACTCGTTCTTATTTCGCAGGAATTTTGACACTTTTTCAAGCTCACTCAATGGTGTTAAGGTATATTGCTATGCATTGGTGTTAATGATATATTCAGGTTCATTGCTGGAGGCGCGGTGGCCTCATGGTCAGCGCGCTCGTCTCCAGATCGAGCGGTCCGGGTTCGAGCCCTGGCGGGGGACATTTTGTTGTGTTCTTTGGCAAGACACTTTACTCTCACAGTGCCTCCCTCCACCCAGGTGGACAAATGGGTACCAGCGAATTTAAAGCTGGGGGGTAACCCTGCGATGGACTAGCATCCCATCCAGGGTGGAGTTCAAATACTCCTAGACGCTTCATGCTACAGGAACCGTTTGGCTCGTATACGGACTTGACCTTTTATATTTTATATTTGTCCTTAACTTGCGTTGTCTTGGTCATAAAAGTTGCTGTGTTTTGTTTCAGGAATCGTTTGATGTTATGTCAACGAATGATGACAATACTCTAGGATTCACTTTGGAACTTTACTCTAGATACATGGAAGCGGCCAAGGTGTGTCAACTGTTTTCAGCATTTCCAGCGAAAGAAGATTCAGAAATTGAGCCCTGGGTTTAATTTTGTCTAAAAAGAAATAAAGTTATTTGTAGTTACAGGTTGAGCTGCCATCTCAGTAGCTATTTAACAACTTAAAGTTGGTAAAGGCAAATTAACCCCGCCGCTATGGCGAGTTTGTAAAGCTGATGTTTCGAGCCTTAGCTCTTCGTCTTTTCTGTTGAGCGTTTTTGTGTTGTAGGGTTTGGCCTACGCGGCCGCGTTAAAGCGCAAAACCGGCTGAAAGCGATAAAGGGCGGCTGTGTTTCCGTTTGTCCGCGCGGTAGCCTATTGTCTGTCGAAAATTGTCGGGATGTTATTTGGAAGAGATTTTGCAATCGAAACATTTTTGGTGTATAAATTAAACAAGAAGACCGCTCGGTAAAGTGAAGCGAACGATATATAGAACAATGCAAGAAACAAGCATTGCAGTCGGCATATCAATATGAAACGGTTCTGAACAGATTTTAAAGATATGTAATTAAGTAAAAAGAAGACCGACAGCAGGGTGCTTTTAATGAGAATATATTAAAATTACTTTTGCCAACTCTCAGTTTAAACCAATGGATTTATGTTTTCTGGTTGTTGTTGTAGGAAGATTGTATTTGCGTCTAAGATACATGTAGGCGGCTTACTTTCAGGGGTGGGGGTGGGGGTGAGGGAGGAATTGTTGACGGTAGTTAAGGAATTTTTGTCTTCAAATGAGGTCCGCTTCAAAACTTACTTTTGGGAGTTCTTTTAAGACATAGTGCGAAGTTATTTTGCCACAACGTTTTTTTATGTATTGTTTGTTTGTTTGTTTTTTTTCGTTTTACAGGAGATGCTTTTCCGTCGAACTTGTAAGCTGGTGGAATTTGAGAATGCTACGAAGGCTCTGGAAAAAGCCAAACCAAAGAATCAAGAAGCGGTAAGCTACCCTGGCGAAGATATCTTCATTATAATTCCCACCACATTTAAAGCCCGTCTTGGGTTCCGTCTTCACTGCGCCGGGAAAAAATTGAAAACGCATCAAATGTTTTCTGTCCTCACTACGCCGGAGGAATTTTGAAAACGCAGCAATCACCGATCATTGTGAATTTGTGTTTGAGGAAAACCCGGACAGAGAAGTCACATGATTATCGTGACGCAGTCGTTTTCGAAAAGCTCCGTTTTCAAAATGTTTTCCGTCCACACGAAAACAAAAAGGCGGTGTTTTCAAATTCCTCTGATTTGAAGAGCGTTTTCGAAAAGCTCCGTTTTCAGGAGAGATAATTGTTGACGGTCGGCCTAACCGTGGAAATAAAGCTGCGTTTTCAAATTTTTTCGGCGTGGTGTGGAGGAGGCCTTAGATCAGTTTAAAAAACTGATTGGGTAATCCTTGTTTCAGTACAATGCTTTATTACACGTAGAAGAGCTCTTAGCCACACGAATGCTCTAGTGCTCCACAATAGAATGGGGCAACCTGAAAAAAAAAAAAAGTCTTCTCCAGTTTCGAGGACCATAGTTTAAAAGCAAAGGTGATTTGTAGCAGTTTTCAGTACGTGTAAAAGCAAGGTTTATGCCGTGGGTGTCAAGAGCTCTTATGTTACATGACGTATTGCGCAAGCCAAACCGGCAGGAAAACCGCTGGCTTATTTCCGCATAGGTCGCGGTTTACGCACCCCGAAAAGTCGAGCCAAAATTTTTCAAATTCGTCGTGTGCAATCCGTGTCAATCTTCTCCATCCTTAACCATCCTTGTTCCGTCATGGTTTATTATTATCTCTTTGCTTTTTTTTCTTATCTTAGTCAACTATTATTTTGAGGTCTCCGTCAACTTAAATGTTATTTTGTACATGGCCAAAATAATTCAAAATACCGTAATTTAGCTCCTTTAAAAACGTGGTCGGGCTTGTGTTTTAAAAGAACTTTGCCTCGAAAAATCTTAGGAGCACATAAGAATACAGTTTGGTAAAACCCTCGCAATGTGAACCATTGATTAATTTCTACAATGATCATTTGAACATTTATAATTTATTGGTCTTTATTTGCTTTCTTTTTTAGCTCCAAAAAGCCAAGGAAGACGCGGAAGAAGCATACAATGCAATATCAGAAATTGCTAACAAAGAGGTGACTGGCCAAAATCTGTGTATCATTTGAAAAGGCAGGGAAGTTCATGTGAAAACTATCAAAACATCTGTGTGGTGTTGTGTGACCATGTTACAGTGCTCCCAGCCTCTGCCGCAACCTTCTTTCGAGTTTTCACACGATACCCTTCCACGCGAGAACATTGATCGTAAGAGACGGACCCTTTTTGTTTTGAGGGGGAAAGAGAGAGAGAGAGAGAGATGGGAGGAGGGAGGGGGGAAGGGGGCTGGGCAATTTGTCAACAAAATTCCTGCACAGTAAAAACTGCTGGGTAAAAAAAAAACCCCTGAAAAGTCTAGCAATTGCTTTCTACTATCCATTCCTTTTTTTATGTTATGTGTAACCTAACAGTGAGAAGAATATGTCATGCCCCCGAAAATTGCCCAACCCCCCTGCCCCCTTAGAAAAATAATGGTCCGTCCCTAATTCGCCCAGGCGCAGCACAATTTCTTTTGAATTAGGAGTAAAAAGAAGAGATACGTACGAAAACTAAACAATACGAGGAAAGCTTCTTTGTGTGCTCTTTACATTCAGTTATTGCCGGCTCTCTCTTGCTTGAAAATCCTTTTTCCTTCTGTCCGCAAAAGGCCAGTGTCAAGAGTGTCTAACACTCGCTTTTTCGTTGTCTTTCCCTTCAGATGACTCGCTACAACAGGCAAAGGGTGTTGAGCCTGCAGGCAAGTCTTGTCCAGTACGCTGAATCGCGGTTAAAGAACGGAAGAGATACGTACGCCATATTAGCCAAACTAATGAATGACTTGAAGAAGTCTTCCTAATTCACCACAAAATGAAGTAAATGTCTCAAACTTTGTGGGAAGTTATACTTTTTTTACTCCTTTTTTAAGAAAAATGTCAAACCTCGCATGAATATATATGTTACGAATGAAGTGCATTCAAGAATACAAGTGATATTAATGTAAAATGAAAATTTAAGGAGAATCGCATTGCGTGGACTTCAAATGAAACGCCAGTCTGCCATAATCACTTCGTTTCCATTGTTTGGAGTAACAGTTGCTAAAAGTATCACTTAGGAGATAATAAGTGATGTTAGAATTTTGGAATATTGATAATAGCCTTGAATTATCAAGATTAAGGTACAGTTATCCAGAGCAGATAGTCCTTTTATTCAAATTCAAAAATTTCAATCTGTTGGGTTGGATAATTAAGAGCATTAAAGTTTCCTTGCAATTTAAAAGTATATATATATCTATCTATCTGGCTTTGATGTATGCCTTCCTGATCTCATTCAAACGTTAATCCAGAGACTCGTGTTTCTAGAAATTAGAAATGAATTTTTTTCAAATCGAGAATGTCCCTTGTACCGTTCATTTTTAAAGAAATTAAACCAGTTATTAACATGTTTTCTGTGCACATCTTTTAGCTGTTTAATTTCGTGGCCAAACGGACTCGCAAGTGGACTCAGGTTGAAAACTTGGGTCTGCTTGCAACTCCGTTTGCCAGGCCTTGCGTG